TATATATATATATATACACACACACACATATTCCCACAGGCAGCGAAATGCATAACCCACATATTAGCAACAATTCTAGAAACAGGAATACGAAAAGAAGCAGGGTAGCCTAGTGGTTAAAAGCAAGGGCCTTGCTGTCAGCTTGTCCTAGCATTGAATCCCATTTCCCCCATGTACTTGTTCTGTGACCTTGGGCAAGTCACTTTATCCCTGAGAGTCTACATTTTCTCATGGGCAAAATAAAAAGAATAATCCTAAATTCTAGGGTTGTTGTAGAGAACAGATAACATATAAAATGCTCAACACAATTCTGGCACATACAGCTTGAAAAAGTGGTAGCAATTGTTATTATTCGAGAGAAAAGCAACCCTAACGACCCTAACATGCAAAGAAATGAACAGTTTGAAAGCCTTCTGACATATTCTCTCATTTATTCCTTACAACAAACAAGAGTTTGAACTAGGAAAACAATAAGGATGGATACTTTATCCCTAAAGAGTTGGACCCAGAACAAAAAAACATCCCCACATTTTCGGCGACATTAGAATAAGAGAACTCAACTCTTTGAAACTAAATTCCCAAAGAGTACAGGGTAGTAAAGGTATTTCTATTTCTTAATTTCTTTCTCGGCACTAAATGTATCAGCTCCTCAAATTCATTTCTGGTAAATAAAATAAAATAAAATAAAATAAAATAAAATAAAATAAATAATGAACGAATAAATGAGTTTGAGGCTCTGAGAGGTGAAGTGACTTATTCAAGATGACACCGCTAGTAAGAAAGAGATCTCTGTGGCACTTAGTTTCTCCAGCTGAAAAATTACTGCTCTGATTCCTGTCTAGGGCTCTGACCACCGAGCCTCTTCTGACTGAGCCCAACTTCGCCGGAGCATCTGGACAGCCGGGTTGGAGCCGCAGGGGTTTGGGGCAGAGGTGCCAGGTGCGTGGCTCTGCAGGGGAATTAAAGCCCAGGTGCGGCCTCTGCCCCCAACTCAGGTCTCCCTGGAGCCGCCCCAGGCCCCACAAGGGCAGGTCGGGTGAGCGCCCCACAAGGGGCGCCAGACCCCACCAGGCCAGGGCCCCCTCGCCAGGGCCGCGTGGCCTCCGTCCCGGACTTACAGAGAGCACCCACCCCAGTCTTCAAAAGGCCGGAGTCGTCCCACCGCCTGGACCCCTCAGCCACCTCCCAGGCGTCTTTCCAGCGGCAGCCACCTTCTCCACCAGCTCCCTAGTTCTGGTTACCACCCAAGCCCCGTCCCCATGGCAACCGCCGCCGCCGGAAGCGACAGGCCCTAAAGGACAGGCGGGGCGGTGGTCACGTGCCCAGGAAGCGGTGACGAGCGTGGCCGACGCGCCCCCTGTCGGTCGCTGACGGCATAGGTTTTCCCCGCTTTTCTCTCCTTCCTGCGCTCACGCGATCCCCACCTTTTCACATGGTCCCGTCCCCTGAGAAGCTGCAGCAGCCAATACTGCCTATTTTTACTTTCCACAACCTTGGCAAGATGGGGTGGAGAAGTATGAACTCGGATACAATTCTCTTTTCCAAAAGCAAACTGAATTTCCAGGTCTCATGGATGCAGCACACAACTGTCCTGCCCGCCTCCTCACCGGGCACCGCGTGTAGCAGATAATTCCAGCTGGCTGAGGGCAGATACGACACAGGGTGCACCAGCTTGCAGTTCTCAGCACAAGGCATTTCTGCAAAACCAGTCTGGCTAAACCTATTAGGATCATTCCACGTCAAAGTGGCTCTCCACTAACATCTCATGGAAGACGGCAACAGGTGGCCACATGGGTTTCCACTGGGAGCCCTGCGGGAAACCAGCCAGAGCCAGAGGCAGAAGGCTGTCTGCTGCTGTCATTTGAGGAGAATGTGAATAATTCTCCCCGCCCACAATGCCACGCCCCAGTGATGGTAATTTGATTAATAGGCATACATCTCAAAATAAAAAAGGATAAACTGAGGCAAGCTGTTTTTATTATAGTCTGAAACTTTATAAAATAGAGACTGGAAAATACTTGGAATTAGAACATGCAATTTAAACAGCAAACACTGGTAAACACAGCATGTCTGTGGCTACCAGAGGGGAATACGCGTGGCTGTTGGGTCAAATAGAGTTTGAGGGAATTCGCCCAATAGGAGGGCTTTGGAATTGAGTGTGAGAATCTGTGGCTGGAAGCACACAGCAATACTGATCCCATCAAGGCGAGCTGGTATCTGTATCCAACCACAGCAAAACCAGTCCCAAGGAATACAGGGCTTGCTTGGCAGAACTGCCAAAACAGAAAGTGGTGTGCCAGAACTGGGGAAATGAACACTGATACCATGGAGAGGAGAAAATAATTCAAAGCATCGGCAGGAATCGCTGAGACCCATTTTACCATCTTAAAAGAGACAAAAAATAAAAGGGAGGAAGAATAAGCATTTTCAAGAGGTCTGATCTACTCATTCCTATCCACACCTCAGCGGTTTACAAAATAGCGCTGATCTCAAGGCATAGCCAGGAGGCTCAATTATAAAAAGTCGAACTAGCAGTGGGCTGGGCGCAGTGGCTCATGCCTGTGATCCCAGCACTTTAGGAGGCCAAGGCAGGAGGACTGCTTGAGCCCAGGAATTCGAGACCAACCTAGTCAACACAGGGAGACCCTCTCTCTACAAAAAATAAATTAGCTATGCATGGTGGTGCACGCCTGTGGTCCCAGATACTTGGGTGGCCGAGGTAGTGCCCAGAGGGTCAAGGCTTCCGTGAACCTTTATCACAACACTGCACTCCAGTCTGGGTGACAAAGCAGGACCTTTTCTCCAAAAAACAAAATGGAGGGGTTCTTATTACCGAATTGAAAGGCGCTTCCTGCCCTCTGGAGAGCTTGCTTCCTCCTAAAGAGGAAGCTGACAAGACACCACACTGGGCCACCTGGGGAACCTCCAGGCTTTCCCTGTTCTCCAAAGGGAGCTACTATGGCCCTAGCGGCCCAGCTGCTGAGGAAGCATGGAACTACTTAGCAATTTCCGTATCCACAGCAGCAAGGCCTCAGTGCAAAGAAATATGTTGGTCAAAGCCGGACTTCACAATTGCTAGCTTGTTTTGCCCAACTTTCTATGAAGCTCTTCTGACCCCTTCTGAGCTTTGGTTTGAGAGGGTCATAAGAAATTCAGTTGGGGTGACAACAGGGTCATATCAGCACTGTAAAACTCTTTATTAAAAATAATAATCATCATCACACCAGTACCTGCCGGAGTAACTTCCGCCCACTTGCCCACAGTTCCTATTTAGGGAATTCCTATTCAGGGCCGTGGCCTAATTTGCGAAAGAGGCCAAGCATAAGTTTTTAAGAATGTCTTAATCCAGGGAGATTACACTAGTGGGCCACAGCACTGCCACCACCCAGAAGTTCAGGCTACAAGCCTCTTCCAGATCCTTATGCTTCAGGGAGAGAAGACAAGGAGGAAATCCCTAGACCCAAGTCCAGGGCAAGGGAAGATGCTTTCCTGTTACTGTTCCTCAGGGACAATCATCTTTGCAGAGGAATAATGTTGCACCTGGAAGAAAGAAGAAAAGGAATGGTGTAAGTTTGGAGGCTCCCTATAGGAAGGTCAGAGGCCGAGCCCTTCTGACCTTTTCACCAATGTTCTTTCATTCTTTTAAATCAAATGCCCAGTGCATGAATGAACCGGAGAGTCCCAGGAGAGACAC